CTACAGAGATTAATTCAAGACGGCAATTGCAGCTTTGCGCGAACAGCACAAATAGAAAAACGAACACTACAATATAAATACTGGCTACGAAGGGCCATGCGGGAAAACAAACTCATGGCTTGGAACCACATTGGAGCGGCTCGATTTATTGGCTTTCAAATAATTATGGCATGATCGAGCGTCTTCTTTTTAATAAGAGATTCATCCCCTGAGCCATTAAAAATAGCCTCAGATGTATGACATTGCTGGAAAAAAATGAACATGTTCGGAATATTTTTTTTTGCTTAGGGAGTCACCGAAAAATTCCGTACGTTCAAAACGACCACTATAAAAGACGGAAACGGAGGGCTCGGTAGTAGTGTTTGAGGTAGTGTTAACGAGAAAAGAGTCAAAGTACAGGCTAGCTGGTGGAAGTCAACCATTTCGTCGTTTACCCTGAGACTGGGGGGGTTTTTTGAAGAGCAGAAGAAACAGAAAAACCTGTCTGTTTTTTCTGTTTCTTCTGCTCTTCAAAAAACCCCCCAGTCTCAGGGTAAACGACGAAATGGCTGAGGTAGTGTGTTGTTGTATTGATGTTTGTATGTGCGATGCCTGTGTATGCGTTCAATATATGTTGACCTGATGTTTGTAGTGTGCGCAACGTGTCTACATGTGTTAGAGATTCCGAAGAAAAGGAAACGCAATTGTGGCGTAAGGAGTAAAAATATTTTTTTGTAAAACATGAATTGGGCGGTACCTAGCGCCACCTAGCCTAGCTACGTGCGATTACTCTGCTTGACCCTGCCATCTGGTGGCGAGCGATTTAACATCCTTTTACGCTACGCGGCTACGCCATAATTTCGTGTTACCGTGCTGAGATAAGCCAAGAGGTTGCTTCGGATTTGCTTTTTTTTTTGAGAGCGGCTTTTGGTTTTGCGGGCGAATGATTTTCACTCCGTGATGTGCGGTTGACGCAACGGTTGACGAAGGAATTGTGGCGCGAGGAATTGCAAAGGTAGGACATAAAGTGCGCGAACTGAGTGCCGGTTGTCTCCGTTGAACATCGCAGTGCTGACGATGAGAAGACTGAGTGACTGCATGCTTTCGAAACGTAAGTTTCTTTACCTGCAGGGGTAAAGAAACTTCGGAAATAAATACAGTTCGCGGAAAGCTCGTGTTACGTTTTTATTTCCTGCTCCTCTCGCTTCGTGCAATAGACTTAGTGTTCTCGTTAAGCCTTACCGAGCTCGATTTGCTCGATTCGTGGCCGCCATAATGAGATGCAGTCGACGGAGGAACTTTTCCTCCCCTGCTTAAGGGACGAAAGTTTCTCCCTTTCTGAAGGAACATATGTGTCAAGAGCGTTCCTCCCTTTAGGGAGGACTATACTGACCCTTTTTTCTAAGAGTGTACATGCTCGTGGCACAATCAACATATGTGAAAAATGGTGCGACGACCGAACGATACCTACAGGTGACATTCACTTGATGTCACTCGCTAGGTTCGCTGGCATCGCCCACCACGGTCGCCATCTTCGAGGTCTCTTTCTATCGCGGGTGTCGTCTGGCCGGGCCTTTTGAGCGTGATTTAGCAGCATTTTACAACTTTAAATGGTCTTTTTGACCGAAAGTAGGGGTTATTCTTATACTTTGGTGCATTTGAAGCGCAGTAAGAATATTGTTTGTATGTGTTTTAGTTCGTTTTGTCGCAATCGCACTCGTTCACCGCGGCCGCGTTGCTCCCTCGGCTCCATAAAGCGCTCCGTGTCACGCGCCGTGCCCACGGCGGTAGCTTTTGCAAGAACTGATTTTTCTACACTGGTGCTTTTGTAGCACGGTGTGATTACTCCTTGTTTTGCTAGTTTCTTTATTGTTCTTCTCTAGCGGATTTTCTGCACTACGGCCGTGTAACCGTGTTGCTCCATCGCCTCTGTGTCGTACATACGTCGTGCCTTCGGTGTTCGTTCCTGTGCAGAAACATACCGTGCGGCTCACAGAGTGCGCAGCTTATGAAAAATGCGGCGCATTTTAATTAGCCCAAGCGATTTAAAAACCGCATGTAAGCGATTTGCCGAGCGGCGAGACAAGCGACGGCGACCCGCTTCGCTGCCGCTCGGTCACTCGCGCGACAAGGCAAACCACGCATGAAAGCGACGGGAGCACACGACCAAGGCGATGAGCGCTAAATTTTCTAGAAATCTCAAAACCTAGACGCGACGAGCGACAGCGGAGGGTGAACCGCATGTAAGCGATTTAGCGAGCGACGGCGACAGCGACGGGAGTCGGCGACGAGCGACGGAGATTTCTCACGGTTGCTCGTCGCGTCGCTCGGTTTTTGGATTTCTAGGAAACGTCGCTAATCGCCTTGGTCACTTGCTCCCGTCGTTTTCATGCGGTTTGCCTCGTCGCGCGAGTGACCGAGTGACAGCGAAGCGGGTCGTCGTCGCTTGTCTCGTCGCTGTCGCCGTCGCTCATCACGTCCCGTCACTCGCTAAATTGCTTACATGCGGGTCAGCCTTTACACACGGTACTCGGCGGCAACAAGGAAACTAAACCACCCCCCCCCCCCCCCCCCCCCCCCCCCCCCCGAGATAAACTTTTTTCTCTTTTGTTCAACGAAGCTTCTTCAACTATATGAAATTAGCACACATTACCAACGGTCGACCGCGCACCCAAGCCAGTCAAACCGCGACCAAGGTATATGTACATTGCCGCGACCTCGAAGATGGCGTATCGACGGTGGCGCTCCCTGGCAAAATCGAACCTGCAGGCTCAGTGAATGCCACCTATAGGGTGCCTCATAGCGGCGGATGCGGGCAGTGTTTAAAGCAAAATATCGGTTCATATTTTTTCATTCATTACGACAAATTTTATCTTTGTGATTCGCCGTCAAAGGCACCGCATTTGCGGTGTTCTCTTGAGTGGCCGCACACAGTTGTGTTAACTATTAAGGTTGTTGACAGACACGCTGTGCTCTTGAGTTGCTGGAAGGGTGAGGCCGCTCCTTCGTATAGGAATTCGTGGCACGCCGTCAACTGATCGGGCTGGAGCTGAGTGTTGTATTGACATGTTTTGCTTAGTCGTTCGATTGAAGCCATTCCAGTTGCATTTGGAAGGGGCGCCATTCTCTAATTATCCACCGGCACTGTGGCTTATGTGCTACCAGTGAAATCATGTTGCAGTAAAAAAACAATAGTCGACCTTTGCCGATTGAAACAGAATTCACGCCGTGGAATGACACTGTACTGCAAATGACAAGGCTCAATTTTGTGTGCTCCGTTTCGACGCGATCGCGGAAGACCCGCTGATTCTAAAGAGCAGCAATTCGAGGGTGCGCCTGCCATTAAAACGGCGAGTGTCACGCCTCGTGCAGCCAAGTGTAGAGCTAATGCCACGGCGCAAAATACGTAGCTCGCCGGCGAAGTACCACCAAGTTCCGCTATAGAGGGTTGTGCAGTCTTAGAACGGCCAGAGCCCTTTATACTGGGAGAGTTCGGCACTCCAGCAACCACAGCTGGAAATAATGCAGCCAGGAGGTGGCACCTTGCCTCCGCCATTTCGCGTTATCGAATTTCGAACCCCCTCTGGATTAGGCACGCAAGGATGCTCTGACCCACCATTGTAATAAAATTGTTTATCGCTAATGCAAGTGGTTTATTGGCGCTGCAAATGTAGTCAGAATCTCAAGCTTACATATCTGCTACGATCTCTTCAACTTATATGAGCGTAAACTTATTCCTCTTTTGTGAAAAGTGAATGTTGAATACCTTGAATATTAGGTCTCAAAAATTACCACCGCAAAAATGCAGTGCCGTGACGGGCGCCCTCTAGGAGAGGCGCTGCTAAGCCTTGCCTTCAATCGCGATTAATTTTTGTTTGGGAAAGCCTTATTTTGTTTAAAACCAGAAGAAATAAAGCTCATTTGTAAGTAATGTTTTTAAAGGATGGCCACTGCTTGAACGTAGTGACCAATTGCAGGCATAACAAAATGTCAAAGTACAAGAAATTATGTTCATAAAACAACTACTAACCGCGCATTTGGACTACCGCATGTAGGTATATAGAGTGTCCAGAAGGAATATCCTCCAGTTTATGTTATCGTAAAATCCGCTTGTTTTAGCGGGCGACAGGCTCCACTGATCGGCCAAACTCTCGCGGTACATAGAACTTTATTGATGGCACGCCACTCCGCTGTTCGTATTTCTTTTGACCATGACTGTAGCCGTCGCACATCTATCTATCTTTCACAACGTGATCCCACTACCGCCAATACCGACGCGGGAGAGCGGGACCGACGAAAGGGAGGCGGCTGATTGGTCGTGGCTGCCCATCACTGTCAACTTGGGGGTGAACGCATGACGGGACGACCGGGCACAAAAAGCGTAGTTTTCTCCCGCCAAAAAAAACAACAAAAGAAACGCAAAGGCGCGCACGCGGAAATACGGGTGTCAAGCGCGTCGGTGTGGACAGCAATTTAGGCGAGCTTCTACGTAGCAGTATACATTGCATATGACATAGCACGTCAATTAACGCTCTCCGAGAGTGTCCTGAAAGTAGGACACGCCCCAGAAACCTTGCCAAGACCAAGTACTGCGAACGACTTCAAATTTCGCGACCGCCCGATTTTTGCGAATTTCCCTCAAAATATTAAGAAGAATGAATCAGAAAAATGCATCATTCTATATGTTATATAAAACATGGCGTACCCCTTCCACTCGCGAAATATTCTGGAAACTGGCAGCTTGCAAGACTCGCCAAATATAAAGCCCGCGAAAAAAAAAAGAAAAAAAAAAAAAGAAGCCGTTTACCGTTTTCGCTCCCACACAACACTTTGAAGAAACAAAATTCCCATTTTGGGTGTTCAAGTAAGATACGCACTCGACTGAATCTTTCATTGAGCTTCCTCGCTTATTTTGGCCAGAACGAAATACTCGGACAATACTTAATCTTTAATATTAAAATGCGTGAGGAAAATCACAGAGACTGGCTGACACGGGGAAATCAGAAGGTGTAGATAGAAAGGCAGGGGTTCACATATTTTATTTTACTTCATCTCTCTGACACGTATACATATAGCGCATTCGTGAACCAAAAATGACGCACAGTGGGCACCGGGGGGTACAGGCCTTATCCATTTTTTTTAACCACCCATGAATAATATAATTTCGCAGTGTATGTCTGGATTACAAGCGTAGTAAATTCAGGTAGAAAGTGTACGTTTCGCACCTAATTCGGGATCGAAGGAAAAATACTTCCAGGATTCGGAGTAATTGTGCCGAAGTAGCTCATTTGTACAGAGGCCGGTCAAGCGGCGTGAGCTGTTTGCCATTGACCGTCACGGGAGCCTCGCTGATCAGGTAGTGGGTCTTGAAGGGCGAATGGCCACCCTCGCTGGACGTGGAGCCGATGAACTCGAGGAAGCGCTCCGGCGAGCATTTCGACGAGCCGTACTTTCCGCACATGAACTTCATGAGCTTTATGCCGAGGACGATGGTGCGGGTGTCCTTGCAGGAATTGTAGACGCCCTCGGCAAACGTCTTGCTGATGGCGTACACGGACTCGACGACGTGGGCCTTGCCTTTCTCAGCGGACTTGGACGCGTTCACGGCGATGAAGTCGGACTGCTGCGGCGAGCAGACCGACTGGCAGATGAGGTTCTGAAAGTTGAGGTAGCAGGCGCTCTTCTTGCTCACACCGAGATTATTGATCTGCTTGAGGCTGCTAACGAAGGTTTTGAGTTGCTTGGCGTCGCAGCAGACGGGCACCTCCTTTCCGTCGGACGTGGCCAGGGCGGGGCAGGCGTTGGTTAGGTCGCTCTTCGCCATGGGCACGGGGTCCGTCTCGGCGCTGCAGGGCAGTTCTTTGTCCGTGTCTGCGTCCAGCGCGCACACACCGTACGTGACACACTTGGAGGCATACGTGGACGATGCCAACGCGGCAAGAAGGCTCAAGACGATCAGGGACCTCATGGTTGTGTCCGAACGGTGCGTGTGGGTGCTGCGAACGTTCGGGGGCTCCTCTATTTATACTGCGATACAGCGATCTGTGAGTGGCAACAGCCGCGCGTGACGCACGTCGTCGCCTGATTCTAGTGTGCCGATAACGTGATATAGTAGGATTCCAGGCACAAACACAAAAGAATTTTGGAGGTGATGCAACGTAGTCGTGTAGATAACATACGATAACATACGACGTGAAATTCCAGGCGCAAATAGAAAAGAATATGGAAGGAGATGCAACGTAGCCGTTTAGATAATATACGATATATCACTACCTTACCTTGATCAATCTTTCTAGATAGATGGTGTGACTAAGGCCACACTTTTTGTTCATGCGTCCGGCACTTACACCATCCGACAATATGTGCTGAAACACCTGAGTCGGACGTTTCCTGCGCCTACCGTTCCCCCAAATTCATTATTTCTCAAATTGTCTAAAAAGTTGAAAGATTGAAGTCCAAGCTTCGCGTTCCAAGTCAAGCGTGAACGAACTCTTCTTTAAAAGCTGGCAGGAAAGCCGTATTGTCCGCGGTAGTACGTTTCCCAACGTGTTTAGACAAGAAAATGTATCCAGTTTTACTACTTCTTGAAGATAAACATTGCATTGAATGCTATGAAAAGTTGCGGTCTCAAAGCGAAAACTGTAATCGACGGTCACTATTTGAGGTTAAGCGCAATTCATGATTAGTTGGGAACAATATACTTCTAGGTGATGCCCCATTCCTGCTGGTATCACATTTAACAAAACGCATAAAATACTAGATAGATACAATAGAGTACATTCGTAAAAGGCCGCGGATCACGAATTTTGAATGGAAAGTACATGAATTAAAATATTTTAACGTTCCAGTCACAAAAAGAATAATTAAAAAAACTTAATTTTAATTTTAATTAATGTTAGGAATTTAGGGAAGACGAAATGGATATGCTTTCCTAAAGATGAGGACAGTTTGTGCAACAGAGAGAAGAGTGTATACCGATGTACGGCAAACAAGACGAAAAAAAGCATACGGTATTATATGTGTAATCGGGAGGTAAGACCGAACAAATTTATACAACAGCATTCGTCATTCTTTGCAGTTATTAATTCTCTTAACTCCTTTAGCATCATTCCCTAACTGCACACATTAGATATTGCTGATCGATGGAATGGTGCCATTAAAATGCTTAACCTCAATTTTGTACGTAAAGGCAGATAATAGATATTATTATGACGAAAGCTGAACGAGATGGCGCAAGCTGCCTCCCGATTCAAAGTACTCAGTCCTATCATCTATTAAACCATCAATCCGCGACCGTACTGCACATCTGTCCAAAATATCCATATATTAAATCTCAGCAAAAGTCTCTCCCGGCGATGGAATAAAACGATTACCCAGAACACCCAGCAAAACCCACTGCCTTTCATAGGATCTGCGTAGCGTCCCCGCCTAAAAAAAAAAAAAAAAAAAAAAAAAAAAGCACAACAATTTTTTTTTTGTAATGTTTCCACGAGAAGAAAAAAGAAATCGCGCAAAATTTACGCCCTTAGACGCAAGTTAGGTGGAGGTCACGGCCCACAGATCAGTTGCCCCGCCCATTACTACCGGAATGGCTTGGCTGCTCGGCCGGACACGCTAAGAAGCCTAGTGTCCCCCTTTCGCAACATCCGGTGCGTCTAGTATGACGTCTGACAATACCTGCTAGTTGTGCGAGCAGTCGCGCGGCAGCATCCAGCATCGTCTGCTATTTTACCACCGTATATCGTCGTCTACAATGCCCGTTGGACGTGGACATCAACGCTGCGCGTCGGCGTCCGTTTTCGCCATCGTCCGTCTGCTTTTACTTTTAGAACGCTCGCAAGACTCGACCATGAAAGCGTCGTTCTAGCGTTCCATCATGCGGGAGCGACTGTCCAATACAAACGTCTGTCAGCGTCTGCCGATGCGCGGTAAAGCGACCGAGAGGACTAAAAAGCCACAAAATAAATAATCAATTATTTCAGCTTTCATGTTCTTGTTATTTTTTTTTTGTATGGCATTCTTAACCAAGGTGGGTGAGCGTCATAACGCACAACTAAAACGTGACCTAAAAGCCAGATTCACGAAGAGCTTCTTAGGTTACGACAGCTTAGTTAAGAAGTTCGTAAGTTAAGAACATCGTAAGAAGAGGAGAAATCGGTATTCACGAACGCGTTCTTAAGTGAGAGGAGGAAAACGACGTTGTCGTACGGAAAAAAAACTCAAACTTCCGGTATCACGCAAGCTCCCGATTCCCGCGAGAGCGGGCTGCTGCTGTGGCGACGGCATCTTCGGCAACACGAACAACCAAAGAGCTCGGCACGGTTCAGAGCACGTGGATTTTGAATAGCCAACGCAGGCGGCCTTTCTGAAAACGCTGGGGTTCATGTCCATGCAGTGAAACGTTGACGCTAACGCGATTTAAACGGGCCCGAATTCCGAGGCCAGGATAATCACCTTCATTGACTGCTACGAACTCGATCACTACGAAGTCAAAACAACTGTTATCGTTGCTAAAAGAAGACGGCTCGCGCCGGTCGTTTACAAAGCGGAGTAGACCAAAACAAATTGCCGCGGCGTTTTTCGCGGCCTTGGATATGCAGGAGCGAGCCGACGTTAAAGAAGAGACGTTTCAACTACTAGAGTGTCAACAAGAGCCACGTAAATACTTGTTCACACTCGAAAAGCGGACGCGCGCGTTTGAACGAAGTGCTGGATTCGCGCTGCTCGACCGCATCTTGGTAGGCGCGCTTCTGGACCGACCTTTTACGGTTGCGACTCGATGCTGACGTGACACTCGGCAAAGAAAGGTTGGACCGGCATCGCGTAGCTCCCACGAACTGTTCTAGCTCGACGGTGTTGCGTATACTGTTGTGTCGGAAGAAAAATGGCATACTAATAACAAAGTCTACATACTCTATGTTGCGAAGGTAATCCATACGGCGTTTATTTGAGCTCGATATCACACAAAACAAGGAGATATAATCGATCAGAGTCCCGTTTCGACGACAGCGCCACCGCCGCCTCGAAAAACAAGGGGGTGACCAGTGGCGTATTTAGAGGAGGAGTCCAGATTAGGTCCCACCACGACAATACTTGTATAAGCGCTCCCTCTTTGTCATTGAGTGATAAAGAATTCTACTATTTGAGGAACCAATGACGCTGGCATTTGAGGGGGGGGGGGGGGGGGGTGTTTTTAGACCATATCTTTGGTGTTCTGCCAAGTGTGCCTGCTTTTATATTTTAAATTTTTTTTAAATTCTGTCATCCAAATAAACAATTCAGTTGAAAGTTACGCCGCGTCCTGTCTGGTTCTATCCGTTTTTGTCCCTGTTGTTTTGGCGTATTACACCATGATGCAAAACCAACTAGCCCAACTAGCCATCCTTATCCAGATTCCCCCCTCTTGAAATCTGCATGTGTAAAAATTTAGGGCGAAGAAAGCCCCCCCCCCCTCCCCCCCCCCCCCCCCCCCCTTCCCCCTTTTCACCGCCCTAAATGAGGGAGGCTCTCAAACATATAATATAGACCTGTGTCCGCTCCGTTCCATGGTCGACGCCATGTTTGTTTATGTTGACGTCATGACAAAGTAGAGGGGCTGCGCTTTTTGCAAGACCCCTTTTTTTTTAGGAAACTTCGCAGATATTCTAGTGCGAAAATGTCAGAAATGCAGTCACGAAGCTCCAGGAAGAACACCGATGCCAAGAGCGTTTTAAAAAGCAAAAATATTGTTGCATGCGCAGCCCCTTTCTTCACAAGAGCCTGTGTTTAAGATTATTGTTTCCCATTTTTATTGCTGGGGGCTAGGATTTTGGACACTGGTCTATACGCAGCAACAAGTTTAAGTATCGCCGCCTGGTGGAATTTTTTCACAAGCCAGAGTGAGAATACTTCAACTTTCTTTGCTAGTGAAAGCGTATGCAATGCCCAGCTTCTATGCACTATGCAAATCAAAACATAACCGCGTGGGCAGCACCTGCACTACCCATAGTGAGGAAAACAGCAGCTCCCCACGCGAGCTTCTTGCCGCGAATAACCGTTAATCGCTTAAGCCGGGGTCAAACATACAAATTCGAACGCGAGTCACCGTGAGATTCGTGCTTCGAATGCCGCACGGCAATGAGCTCAAGGAGAAACTTGCGCACGCGGCATTCGAACCACGGATATTGCGGTGATTCGTGCTTGCAGAATGTCCTTTGTATGAGCAGTGTGACCCCGGCTTTAATGCGTCAATAAATAATATCACGTCTGGAACACGCGTGCACCAAGAAGGACTACAAAAGCGTGCGCATTAAAAAAATATCCATTGCCCCAAGTCGCACGGTGCGAATCTCGTGAACAACCACGACGCGACGGTTCCACTTAATGCAAGTGACCTTTCGCTATCTGGCTTTCATCCTCTCCTCAAAACCTGAATGACCATTTTATGTTTGGTCGTTTTGCAGCCCGCAGCCACACAGTAAACGCGAGAGGGGTCAGTCTCCCGCAGTGACAGCGGCGTCGCAAATGCATTTGCACGGGGACCAGAGCCGAAAGCACTGTCTCCGGAGGCTCCAAAATGCATTTCCCAAGAAACACTTGCACCCAAAGAAGAAAAAAAGAAGGAACAGTCGGAATCGCCCGCGGCCTACAATTTATCTGTTGCGGGACAAGCTAATAGGCAGGGTATAATTAAACGGCACATTGCAATACAGGCGATCCATCAAAACAATCGGACGTCTATTGCGTCTTTTACAAAGGTAGGAAGAAGGTGTAAGGTGCCTCCACCACGACTCCGCGGCACCAACCCTGCCCCCGAGAGTGGAGGAGAGATGAGATCAGGGGAGCGAGAGCGCGAACCGAGCCGAAGAAAAAAAAAAAAAAAAAAAAAAGAGCGGCGAGGCGGTCTGGAAACAGACAAAACAGCATTGTCACGATTCCGCCGAAATTCCGATCCAATCCATCACTGCTCCGGCTGGTCGTGATGCATGGTGGCTGCGGGGAAATGCGTCCTGTGACGAGCAATTAAAAGGGCAGAAGCTCTACGACTGAAAACTCAATTAGAGAGACGCCACAGTCGGAATTCGGTTCCTCCCCGCCCGCTCGCCCATCGTT